CCCATCGATATCCCGTCACAGCCACAGTCTATATCACTGCTTGGAATCAACTTCCTACAGCTACTGGGACCGGCGCTATGAATTTCGTGATAGACAGAAAGACGCACACACAAACACACACACACACGGACAGACATACTTAGCGGATTATATATAGTAGGATGGGCATTATGACCCAAACCACCACCCCTTCTGCGAATGAGCGTGGACTCAGGATCCGCTGGGTTCGCTCTATATGTTTGAATGGAAAAGTTTCGTTTCCATTATGAAGTGCGCCTGGGAAGCCAAGCTAAAGAGAAGGAGGAAGCTCGGCGTGAGCCGAGCGATCGGACTGGTCCACTTCATATAAGTTACTACGTCTCTGTCTGTCCGAAAATCCGGTGCTATCAGGATGTGAATGAATCACTATCATTCCAATTGATCGGTGCAATTCATACCTAGTGACAGTCTCCCAGGTTGAGCAGCAGCAGCAAGCTTTTCAACGTAATGTTCGGTGTCTCCGAAAATACTCTGCGATCATTTGACACATTTTGCGAATTCTAGCTCGTCTAAGGGAAGAGCGTCTGGCGGAGTTAGGTCGGCCTGGGCCGTGACATGAAAGGAAGAGCGCCCGGCGATTGTTGGGCGATCCGACTGGTGCACATATAAGCGTGGTTCAGCATGGTATTCTATATAGAGCATTTCAGGCGGGTTTTTAGTGCTTCTTTTTAACCTCTAGTGCTACTTGCCATCTTGTCATGAGTATCTGAGCAGCACGAAACCCGATTTTCAAAGCAGGGGCATTCCTCTAATGAGCTGCTTCTCAAGTACAATTACTGCAGTAGTAACTTGATAGCTTACTGTGCACCAAGGGAACTGTTGTGGTATGTGAATTCAGGGTTTCATTTCTCGTTTTCTGCTGTAAGGCTGCTTTCATACCTTACGACGACGTCGATATTGACGTAACCAACGTTTTCGGCGACTAGTTCGCGAAGATGGAATACGTATTGATCCGACGTAATCGACATAAGAGACGTTTTCGACGTCAGTCGATATGTATCTAATCTTCAGTCGCCGGTTACGTCGATACGTACTAGTCTTTGGCCGCCCAATACATTGGTTATGTCTTTATGGCGATCATGCCGGATCGATACGTATGCACTCTTCAAACGTAGTGGACGAGAACGTCGGTAACGTCGGCTCGCTACATATACAGTTTTCGGAAGGATTGTCGCCAGTTACGTCGACGTCAACGTCGTCGCAAGCTATGAACGCTGCCTGAGGGTTTTTACACTTCTACGCTCGAGGTCAAATATGGCGTAACGGAAGGACAATTCATGGCCACTAAAAAGGGAAGAGGAGAACTCACCATGGGTCCTGAAGAACTCATTGGAAACGGACTCCTGCATCTCCTCGACTAATAGAGATCCACCAGATCGAACAGCAAGATGGTCATAAACTGGGTCATCAACCATTGCTACAATCAATAACAAATTCAGTGCTTCATAAACGTGACTTTATATGTATCACAAGGTCTGGAGAGACTAGCTGCGATTAGGCAATAATAAATGCTTTATCAGAAGCGAGGAAGATTCGGTAATGAATCAAAATCAGGGCGCGTTCATACTTAGCGATTCGTGCTATACAGACGCGCGAGTGCAACTGGCCATACTCCACTGCCAACCATGAGACCGCTTCGCAGGATCCGGGAAGTTTTATTTTAAACGTGTTCCAATTAGCAGCTACAGCAATCCAACGATTAAGTGTAGCGCGACTGATGGTAACTTTCCAGATCGCGCGACTAAATGAACCGAGTCGCGAAGTATGAACGCTGCCTTCGAGTGCGTTCATGTTTGTGTGGCTGTTTTGAGCGAGTAGGAGAGGGAAGGTATCCATCCAACGTCTTCCTGGCCTTATCAAGCTGCAACATAGCAACACGGACGCCTACCGTGCCCGCCCGCCCACAAATGGACGACCGCACCTGATGCTCGTATTGCTTCATTTGTGAAGTGAAATATGAAGCGAAAGGATTGATACTACTTTCCCAGTCACGGACGCCCAAAGCACTAACTGCGAACTATGAACGCTTTCCTAGGGGTCAAGCTACATATAAGAGCATCGATAGTTTACTTCAGCAAAGGATAAAGTTCTCGCCGTTGATCGAACCCCTTGATGCATTCCTTCCATCAGAATCGTGGCTTCTATTGAATGCGATGTGCCCGTGCAATTACTTGCGGTGGCCAAACCGATGTAGAAGTCAGTGTTTATCCTCCCAGACGAACCTGGTACCATTTTACCGTCTCGTAGGGCTAAAGGGATTGGTTGACCGGGAGGGAGCCCATCTAATATCCGAACCGTGACGGTAAGCGCGCTACTTGCCACTATACCACCTCCGGCTTAGGTCGTTCCAGTATTTACAATGAAAAAAGCCGTGAACCAGACAAAAGAAGATAATAGATTACTCGAAGCATGGGTGGGATTAGAAAACATGTTGATCGTTAATATGACAACTTTAGAGCAAAACATTCGAAGGTGTGCTAGAGGGAGCAGTGATGTGGGTACAGATGAAGGTTGATACGACTAGCAGGTAAAACGAATTTTGGGCAGAAGCAGTTCCTTCAAGCTATATAGACTGCTCTGCTGAAACAGCTAGACGGTTTGATGTCAAAACACAATACCTATGACTGGCTCAGATCGATGTCTACACCGCCATCGGCTAGGAACGACTTTGCTGCCCGGGCGCCTCGACGGGATACACTGCATTGCACTTATCATTGTTGCGGAGCTTTTTTCCAATAGAAACTGCTTTTTTTCTAGACACTCAGAGAGCCAGAACAAAGAGTGAACGGATTTTTCGCAGATTTTTGCATCGAGAGGAAAGGACTCAAGATGGGTGAGGTACTTCCGGACAAAAACTGCCCTCTGCACTTCGCGTTTCTCCTGAGTCGGAATTCTACGGGGTTAACAAAATGGCCCGGCACGTAGCGCGAAGGGCCGTATTGCATGCCCACACACGTTCAATGCTTCTCGCAGAACAGAATAATCAGTGATGTTCTTACTGACTGTCCGAAACATCACGTTTAATGAGAGTACTTACAAAAAAAGGACCACATGACTGGACTAGAAAGTGACGGTGAGCGGCTGAAGAGAAGCGAAGTGTCCAAATGAACCCACCCGAGGATCGATTCCGGACGAATGGGTTGACTAACCGGGGCAGTTTGAATTAAGTTCTTTCGCGCCGGTCGCGCAACGTCGATTCGCGCCAGGTCACGTATTGGCTGTCTTCCATGTTTTGGCATTTTTGTTTATTTCATTCGCTCTTCGCGTTTTGCATGCCATTTTTGTAATTCAGCTCGGAAATCATTTGAGTGGAGGTTTTCAATGTAGTAATGCAATGTGAATTACATAAACCACTGGTTTTTCAGCGCTATATCGGCTTTTTTTCTGTTGTTAAATGTGTTTTCTTAATTTTCTGACGATTTTTAACCTTCTTGATGTTAGTTCAAATCGCAGCTGACCGTCTCGTTATTGGGACCAGTATGGAAAATAAGTTGGTTTTTAAGATGCCAATCGTGGCCCTCCATTATAGAGAACTTTTTTTCTCCCAAAAGTTGAGGTTCTAAATTGAGCTTGTCTTTGTAGAAATACCGTGTTCTCTGCGAAACCTGTGTTTTTTTTTCTGCATTCGCTTAATTTCCTACCTATTTCGTTCCTAATAATCCTGCAGAATGAGCCGAGATGACAGTTCCGATTCGGATAGCGATACCAGAGAATCGGCGGGCTCAAAGAACAACAACCATGCTGAACAAGGTGGCGTGAAAAGGGAAAGGAACGACGATCAAGGTGCTTTTGTTTTTATTTTTCTTCTCTTTTGGTTCTCTGTAGTTTTTCTTTCTGTGCAGGCAACAAAAATTCATGCAAGGTGCAGTGTTACGCGATGTTAGGTGTGAACTACTCGTTTACAAAAACCATGTATGCTTGAGTCATAGATGGTTGATAGTATAAGGTAAGGTTAATGTCTGTGTTTTGCCGCAGAATTTTCGAGTATTAGAGAAGCTGGAAGCGTCACTGGGGGCATAAGCAACTCGATAGTACTGTAATAAAGGTTTAGCCCAGTTCGCGGCGGATGACGGACGTATGAGGCTGGATGGTTCTGGCTCGGTGGCAAACACGTTCACCAACAGTTGCAGTGAGAAAGTGTCAAACACTGTATCATATCGTGTCCCGAATCTACCAACTGTCGCACACCCGCTTACTGGCAGAGAACGCGGGTTCAACGCCATGGTACATTCTTACTGCCTGGCACACCCCTTCATCTGCAGCGAGTTAAAGTGTTAAACGAATCTTGGCCCCAATTGTGAAAAAATTCTGAATGTGTGAGGCTCGAAAGTGGGTTCCCTTGACATAACGCTATAGTTTTTTTATCTGATCTAGTAATTCCGTCGAAGTTTTATAAGTTTGAGCGAGTCGAGCATCTGGTGAACATAAATTTATTCATCCCGTGGACATGTCAAAGACATGTAAGTGAAATCGAAAGGATCACAATTCCTCATAAAGTTGAAGAGGATAATTCATACTACTACACCAATGCGTCTATTGATGGTTACCTATTTTCGCGCGGGAGAAGATCTGCTCATAAAGATACTGAACTCTCAAAATCTTACTAAAAAACTTTTGAGTTTTCGCAAGTGGTATTCATTCTGGTCGTTGCTCTTTGTGTTATCATCCCTTCTACAGTTGAATAGCCTTTTTCTAGTACAGAACCTAATTTCCATTTCTATCAGGATTTCTTGTTTTTCAGCGTTTGTGCCGCTCTATAGCGGGGTCCGCTGTACTGGTGGTTTTCTCACGGACCATTTTCCGGTCAAATACCTGATCAGGTGAGCACAACTATGCCTTGAATCCACGTGCAGTGCGTCAGCAGCGTTTGCTGGGGCGCTTTTAAGACGTGTCCTTACACAGAGGTACAACCCCCCCGAACCATAAAACAAGATAAGGAAGAAAAAGAAACAAAAAAGATTTAATAAACAAACAAACAGAGAAAACGCCAATAATTAAAGACAAGTTAAAAAAATGGAAAAAACGGAAAAAAAAACAAACAAAAAAAAAAAAAATTAACAAAGAACAAAACAAAAAAAAAAAAGCACCAAGACCAAACGTAGGGACAAAAAAAAAAAAATATTCATACCGGAAAAAGACGAGTCCTGAAAAAAAAAAAAAAAAACAAGCCTTCCTAAAAAAGAAAACAAAAAAAAACAAACCAGCAAAAACAACCAAAATATGGCGGCTAAAACGAAGACAAATAACAAAAGACCAAACAAAACAAAAAAAAAAAAAAAACAATTAACACAATAAATAAAAAAAAAGCAGAATAAAAAACTAAAAGAATAAAACAATAAAAAAAAAAAAAAAACGAAAGAAAAAAAAAAAATATATAAAAAGACAAAAAATAACCGATACAAAAAAATAAAACAAGAAGAGTAAGACAAAAAAAAAAAAAAAAAAAAAACAAAAGAAAGAAACCGTCCAACGTAAGGCGTTTCATACTCAACAATAAACAAACACTAAAAAAAATGCCAAAAAAAAAAGTCTATCAGCCTTCCTTGGTTGCCGCCCCCTTCGCCCCCCCTCTTGTTTCTGCCCCCAGTCCTACTCTTACGCTTGCGGTGCTGCCGGTATGTCTTCGTCCCCCCGCCCTTCCGTCATCGCCCGCCCTTTCGCACCGTGCTGGCCCTCCCCCGGCGTTCCCTCCGCGGTCGTACTTCGCCCAGGCCCCTTGTTCGCATGAACACGTTCCTTGCCGGCTCTCTGTCGCGTGTGCGCTCGCTCCCCTAGAACTCGGCCCCTCCTTCTGTGTCGGTGTAAAGTAGTCGGTTTTTTAGGTTCAACTTCAGTTCGAACTTTGTCAGGAGAACAGACGAAGCTTGCACCTACTGCTCGAGTTCGCTCTTATTTTTACTGGCCAGCACCTTATCTTCTGCGTAGCCAAGCGTCCAAGGACTCGGTTTCTGGAGATCTCGCGAGATTGCTTCCAAGACGACCACGAAAAGGAGTGAGCAGGAATTTCTACCAAGATTTCGTTTGTGCAGTTTGTTTCTGCTTTGTTCATCTTGAAAAGTAGGTGTCAACACAAAGGTGAACGTCACTTCCGATGATATTTCTGGAAAACATTCGTGCACCATTTACCTCTCGTTTCGTCACCAGATATCACTGAGTATGTTAATTACGAATATAATGGTCATTACACCAGCGCTAGATTCGTTCTAGCGCCTTCGGGTTGTGAGTTTTTCCACTGAAAATTGTGCTTTGGGCTTATATAAAGTGGTGCTAATCAATTAGGATAGGACAGTTAACAAATCTGTCGCTGGTGTGAAAATGAGTAATACTTTCTTAGTTAGCTTACTCAGTACTCCCTAGCGACGAAAATAAGGATAAATAGTACAAAGAATAACCAGCCCATTGAAACCTTGCTTGCAGTGTATGCTGTGCTGTGTCAGGCGGCAAAATCTTCCGTTAATGACCTTCAGCACGTTTTGGGCTCGAACGCTTTTTGTACTAGGGCTCTTTTGAGAGGAATACTCCCTAATTCAATTGCTGCAGGGCAGAACCTCTTGGGTGAGGGGGCGCTTTGCAAAACACAGGCAACTTTGTCATATAATGAACTCCTGACTCACGGCTAGAAACCAGCGGAACTTGTACGTTAGCTCATAAAGGGTCCCGTTGCAAGTAGACTAGCGATGCTCGTAGGGTGCTTTGGTGTGTTAGGTTCAACCGAAGTTTCTGTGTCTGCATATCTTCAAAATTATGGATGCAGTCAGTTCTCAATTATTCCAATCGCTGATGAGTTTTTTTGTGGGCAGAAGGAGAAGCTTGTTAAATTCTCCTCTCCCTGAGCGGGATAACGTTGAACTTTCTCTGGACTGATCAGAATAGCCAATATAGTACAATCGGCCTCGTAGTATCTGCAAAATAGATTTATGCTATTAGCATGTTACTTCCTGAAATTGCTGTGTACATCAACTACATGCAATTCCTGCAATTTGTTCTTTTTTGGTCGTTTCTCTTTGCAGCTTACCTAACTCTGCCATTTCATTGAAAAATCACTTTTCTGACTCAATAATTGAAGTCTTGCCGGTCTTTAGATTAGCAAGGTTGCGTAAATACTTTGCGTCAGCGTTTTGGGCGTTTTGAGTGGCTAGGGAAGTATGGATATCCACTACCATTTCGCACGCCAAAGTTCTCAGTGCCCGCCCAATGCTCAGAACTGCCCGCGAAAGCGCTCGAAATGTTGGTGGACCCTCAAAACGCTAGATCGATATTCATACTTCCTTAGCTTTTTGAAACGCTCAAAACGCTGACGCAAAGTATGAACGCAGCTTCATGTTGTGTATTGAATACATAAAATTGCTGTTAGTTTTTATGGCAGGATCCATTGTAAAGGTGGCCGTTCAGAAAAGTCCCCATCACCTCCGGCGAAGAAATCTAAAGAAGAGAGTAACCATGAAGATGTCAAGCCTAAGAAGAAATCAAAAGACGATGAAAAGGATACTCCATCTAAATCTATAGAGAGTCGCAGTAAGTCCTGCAGTTTTCATTCTCACCTTGATCGCCACTGATAATCTTTAGGTAGCACAAAAGAAAAAGAAAAACATGATGAGAAGAAAAAGTCAAAGTCGGGCAAAGATAAAGAAAAGGAGCGAGAAAAGGATCGAAAGTCACGGAAAGAAAGATCACGATCTCGATCGAGGTGGTCTTCGAGGATATTTGCTAAATATGACCCTATATATCATTCAGTTCCCCTGTTTTGTAGGTCTCCTGATACAAAGCGGCGTAGGAGCGATAAAGAGAAAAGTAGAAAAGATAGAAAAAAGGACAAGGACAGCAACCGTAAAGAAAAATCCAAGAGGGAGCAAGGACATATGGAGGACGATGAAAGGAGAAATGGTGATTTGGAAGACGGCGAGGTTTGTGATAACATTTCCAGTGAACAATTTGATCCACTGAAGGAAATGTTGGAGTTGGATCCCATGAGTGATCCCTTGCTGAGATTGCATCCTTGATCGGCAAAAAATCCAGAACTAAGTGCAGGTGATTTTGCAGGTAGTGGAACCAGCTCGGCAGCCGACTGCTAGGGAACTTGAGCGTATGCGACTTATGGAACAGTTGGTAAGCTTTCTACTCAGTCAGTTATAAAAGGCAAGTTTGCCGTCGCACACTGTAGCTTGCTTCACCTAGGGACCCCACAAAGCCTACCAGACAGCATATGTTCAGCCCAGCCCTTTTTAAACATTGGTCGCAATTTGTTCTCTTAAAACATCATGCTTGTTGAGAACATCGCGGCGGGCCTTGCGAACCTATTTATTTTATCGCTGATCGGATTTGACTCGTTTCATGCGCATTTACACCCTCCCCTCTTCGTTCCCTCCTACCTCCCCTCTCCTCCGTTGGATATCGACCATTATCCACATCTCTCTACCTGTCACCTCTTACCAATGTTTCTGTCGTTGAACCGCCATGATTTGGTTGTGTGCAAGCTGTACAACTTTGAAAAGCAATGACGACGGCAGCGCCCCTTATCTGCTTCAATCGGTTGTTATCCACTTTCGTCACCTAAAATTATTATTCCTGTCCCATACCGCGTCATATATTGGAACCAGGGTCTCACTGTAGCTGTAACCCACGCTATGAATTTGGCGACTCTCCATCCCGCCAATAGTGTTCCTTCCCTTATCATTTCCTGGTATCGATGTACCACGCTTAGAGCAACGGGCGCTATGAACTATTCTTGGCAGACGACATACCGCATGCAAACAGACAAAGTCGGATGTAATATATAGTACGATCGAAGATTACTGAATCCTTTGCAGGCAAAAGAAGACGCGGAAGAAGATGGACCCTCGTCATCAGCGCGAAATGACGAAAGGCGAGCTTCATGACCGCCGAAGCGTGCTTATTTGGATGACATGACAGGTGCTTCGTGTCTGTGCTTTCACAGCACTAGTGGTTTTTTCGTACTCCTGGGTGCGCTGCCTGCTCTTATAAGTATCTTCTCTAGCTTTGTGAAGCTAAACACCGTTTCAGGAAAAGTAGCTAATAGTTTCGATTTGAGAAGCTGTGCTCTGTGTCCCTCTGCAGCATATTACACCGTTATATTGCCTGTATGGTATGTGGAAAATACTTCCAGGTAATTCCTAGTCAAGCTGCCTATTTGCAAATCTAGTGTGGTGGATATCATTAACGTGCTCGAAATACTCATCCAGGGACGTGGAACCAATACACATGCGTACACACATTCACTAGATACTGATCATCGTGTATTTCTCAATCTCCACACTCTCAAGTTCTACTGCCTTCCAGACAACTACGAAGTTGACGACCCTTCTCTCGAAGACATAAAAGTTTGCTTAATTACTGAATTGCGGTTTGTTGCTACTCTTTTTCTTTGCATTTCTTTCTTTCATGCCATGCATTTATGGCGGTGTTCGGACATTAAGACTAGCTTGTCAGACAGCCTGAATTGTGTCGTGATGGTTTTGTAGATGATTGTAGAGGCTGTACTGCACTAAAAAAGTGGAAATTTGCGGGAATTTCATTGGAAGCTGAACAGTGTGGCCCATGCCAGCCCAAAGTGGCTATGAGCGAGAAGGTAGTAGTCCGCCTTCTAGCTCTCTCCAGTACGGCGGTTCAGAATTTGGTGAATGCAATTTCACAACGAATTTGGTGGAACTAGTGGAGAAGTCAGTTTGGCTGTTAACCGCGGCGAAGCGAAAGATGAATTGTACCTTTGTAACCCTTGAGTGTTGGGAGAGGTTTCCTCTTTTTGGTGTTTCGAGACACTTATTTTCAAATGTTTAAAAGCATTTGCGCTTTAAGTATGTGCTGAAGCGACTTCACGAAAGAGCTGTTATTAGTCAAGCCTTAGATCGTCAACATCGAATGGCCAGAGCATATGATGATTTAACGTATTTCCCTGGTGTTGTTGGTCTTAACAATATTAAAGCGAACGATTACACAAATGTAGTTTTGCATGTAAGTTGGCTATTTTGTGAATTCCCAGAATAGTGTGATGTGTGGACCTCTGTTAACTAAATGACCTCTTAGGCATTATCACATGTGACTCCTTTACGTGATTACTTCCTTCGCGAAGAAAACTACGAGAATATCAAGAGACCTCCAGGTGACAAGCTGTCACTTCTGGCCAACAGGGGGTTCGGAGAGCTGATCCAGCGTCTGGTGTATTTGTTTACGTTTTTTCGTTCACTTAAGGAGCCCCACGACAAGGTATCGTTCTTATGTGCTGAGGTGAATGGGTCAGCGCGCATGAACCGGCCAAATTCTTCGCTCGAATGAAGAATGACGGAAGGGGCTGAGCCTCTATTACTCGCTGGCGGCACCATACTCTGCGCATGCTGTCTTCTATGTGCAGCATTAGCGCCCGCTGCAAAACACATGCTCAGCGGTAAAGAACAACCTTAGGTGAGAGGGCGCAGATAAGTAGCGTGTTCGGCTACGATTAGGCGTTGAGTCGCGTGGCAAAGGGAGGCGGAATATGGAGTGAGCACCAGGGTATCGCTACCATTCAGCCTCGTTCCTGTGCTATTTTGAGCGACGAAAGTGGCTTGCTATGGCAACTGCTGACCCATTATCCTCACACATTGCAGCGATCGAGATCCGTTGCGGTGAGTGTAGATTTCGTCTTTAAAGTTACTTTTTGTAACATCTGTTTAAGGAAACTCTGGAATCCGAAGGCATTCCGTACCCACGTTTCTCCTCATGAAATGCTTCAAGCCACTGTTTTATGTTCCAATAAGAAGTTTCAGTTCATAAAGCAGGGTGCGTTTTTATAATTTTGGAGCTTTTTGGGTGCATAAATTTTTATTCACATTCAACCTCCTTCGAAAAAATAATATCCCGGTTCCAGGTGACGCAGCTGAGTTCATGAGCTTCTTGCTCAATACTTTGCACATTGCTCTAAATGGCACTCAGAAGTCTTCATCATCAATTATATACAGGTGATTTTGAAAATCGCAGATGAGATGATTTCAACGTTTTTGGAAATGCAGTATCCGTTTTTCCAGAATCTTCCGCGGTCGTATGCGGCAGTATTCGCGACGAGTGATACCAGCTGAAGCTACGGAAGAGCAACGGTTGCAGTTGTTGCAGTTACCTGAGTATAATGGTGAGTTTATGAGATCTTACTACCTGAATTATAGATGTATAAACTTTCCGCCATTGACAATTTTTTTGGAATGCGGCACCACTCAGAATTGTAGTGGCTTATTGAATGCGATTTAGTCAGTATAAAATGACTTGCGGGGCTAAAGGTGTGCAAGTCAAGCTGCGTTCATGCTTTACGCCAGCGTTTTGAGCGTGCGGCAGCGTTCTTGGCGACTAGGAAGCAAACATATCGATCTGGTATTTTGCAATTTTGGCATTTTCGATTTTGAGCGTACGCCGGCGGTTTCAGCGACTCCGCCACAACTCGAAACTATCTGCGAAAGCGCGCAAAACGCCGGTGCGCGCTCAAAAACACTACATCGGCGTCTATACTTCCTTGTCGCTCAGAATCTCAAATAGTGGTATTGGAGCAGCCTCACTGGTTATTTTCCTTGCCGTACCTGGTAGCAATTCACGGTTTTTGGAGGATAGAAGCCTTGGTTGCCCTGTGCAGAAGCAGGTCCGCGATTTGACCCTAGGACCACACGCGTTGTAGGCGTCCGACTGCCACCATTATCTCCATCGCATTACGCATTATTACCTGTGTATTCGACTCAAACTGGTTTTGACGGAAGGGGGGAAGTAGGCGGTGAGAACATTCGTCCGAAGAGGACTGAGCTCAGTGCTAGAGAAGCGCTAACAGCCAGATTTCCCGCGGTATATTAATGTCTTCCTTCCATAGTTTTGGCCCTTTTAAAGCATAGATGAGAACGGTCAGCACGGCTAGTCTCGCTTGGTCCCTCCATCAGTTCCCTCAACTCGCATAATCACAAGAATCGAGTAAGTTCGTTTCTGACTTTGGACAATGGGAATGTAGAATGGGTTCGTTAGAGATAAGACTTGAAATGTTACCTATGGTCAACGTATAACTTTGTAGAAAGTGCGAAGGAACTACCTTTCCTCTACTTGGCGTTGGATCTTCCACCAGCACCGCTTTACCGCGATGAACAAATGCAAAATATTATTCCGCAAGTGCCATTGTCAGTGCTCTTGCAAAAGTTCAATGGAATGACGGAAAAGGTAATCTTCACTCCCACCCTTTTATGGCGAGCATTCAGTCCCTGTAACATATTTCAGGAGTACAAGACTTACAATGAAAATATCATGAAGAGATTTGAACTACTTCGTCTCCCTGAATATCTTATTATCACCTATAAAAGATTCCACAAAAATCAGTGGTTCGTAGAGAAGAATCCAACCATTGTGAACTTCCCTATCAGGTGTGTGTATTTTTCTTTGCTTTCTTGTCGAATTGCTCTATCCTTTTTCCTAAATGAGCTTATCTAAATGGTTTTATCAACGGCTTCGATAACCACGTTTCAACATTCCTTTTATTACCTGCGACAAAATCGCTTTTTCCGAACGCTCTTTTTTTTGAATAGCTGGTTGAGAAAAGATTGTTTAAGTCCACCATGGTTGCTTTTATAAGTTGCGTCAGCGTTCGCGTTTGGAGGGTAATCCAGAATTTGAGCGACCAGAAAAGAGAAGGTATTGATCTACCGTTTCGAGCACAGCGTGTGTATGGTAGCGTTTCTAGCGACCAAAAAAGTATGGATATCGATTTAGTGTCCTGAGCTTGCGCCTGCCTTTTTACGACTGCGCGCGAAAAATCCAACACTACCCGAGAAACGCTCAAAACGCTGACGAAAACTATGAACGCGGCATTTTCGCTAGCCGTACGTTGGTTTCTATAGTGTGTCTTCGAAGAAAAAAAACCAACTTTTACTTTTCATATTTTAAACGATAATGTGGTGTACTACGCTGACCAATGAAGGGGAGGGTGAGATTCCAATATTTTGTGCCAACCTCTTGGGGCGTATTGTCTGGCTGTGTGAACTCTGTAACAAAATTCCGTAAACTTCATTCCATTCCTCTATCGTTTTCTGCATGTAGGGCGGACGCAATTTGGTGCAGGATCGTCCGAGGAAACTGTTTTGAGTTTTGACAGCTTCTTTGAGGCCTAAGGAAAAGTGATTCCGGATATGGGAATGATTTTTATACGAAAAAGTGGTTTTCTCATTTCATGTGGAGTAGTCCGCCTACCTCAGAGTCACATAGTTTCTTCGCATCGCCTCCCACCTTTCTAGTTTGTTTTGCTAATTGGAATATGGGCTTACAAGGACAGTTTTCGAGGCAACGGTCAGGAGAGGTCAGTCTGTCGCCGCGGCGCGGCGGGGAGAGGCGGACCCCGCGGTGTTTCCGCTATGTGCGCGGCGTTTGCATAGTCCACTAGATTTCCAACAGTCTGCTTTATTACTCGCAGGTGTGAAACCTATGAAAGGATGGGCCCGATGTTCAACTATTAGTGTAAAACAACGTCCATTTACATAGAATAATATTTAGAGAATACATCAGCAATCTACAAAAATTCACTTTAGGGTGAATCCTTCTTTTGCACTCAATTGTAAGGTATTGTAAGGCCTAAGATTTGCGGCCAGACGGGAAAAGTAGGTAGTATTAAAGAAATACAGCAATCCGTTGAATAAATACAGCTGCCATTCAAAAATACTGACGTCCCATTGAATATTCTGGTTTGGCAAAATCCAAGCAGATTTGCGTGATGCCAGAACTATGTGAAGGGACCGGGATTCATCCAATCACGGCAGCAATCGCCACGCGCGGCGAAGCGAAACATGGCAGCCGTGACCTCTCGTGAAGTCCTAACCTACACTCCAGTTTTCGTAACGTTACGTTGCTTCACAAGATTTTACTGGAATTAGCCAAACTGCTCGATATTAGGAAGAAGTTTACACGTAATCTCTTATCTCATTCTGGATGCGGGTAAGATATTCGTATTTCGCCGCTTCGTCGCCCGCTTTGATGGGCGCGACGATTTCTTAATTTGTATAAGCTTGTCGATTGAAATACCGGTTTTCATGTGAACTACGACATCGCAGATATGGCTATTTTTGGCTGAACTTTGTCTATTGTCCACATTTACGCATCGCCATTTGCTGGCGCGACGTCGCATGCGACGTCCGCATGCGCGGCGAATTACGATTGTCTAGTGACATTTCACCCCCTCTACACACTTCACTCAGCGCTCCCGCTTAGTTTTAGTTTCTGTCGTGGAGAAATCCGAGCTTTTTCAGTAATGTCGATCTTTATGACTGTTTATCTGAGGACACACGCTTTGATCACAAGTACACAACATATGACCTAATCGCCAATATTGTGCATGATGGAAAACCTGATGCAGGAACATATCGCATTCAGCTTGCTCACGTGGTGAGTGTATTTCTGAACGCTTAGAACTCTGACAATGTCCACTAAGTCATCAAATTTCCCTTTTCAGGGATCTCGGAAATGGTTTGAACTTGAGGATCTTCATGTGAAGGAAATCCTTCCACAAATGATTGTGCTAGCAGAGTCCTACATTCAGGTTAGCTCTTTCAAAACTAAAAAAGTATCTATTACAAAAAGTCACCACCAATTTCTCAGTTGTTTTTCTCGTTTCGTTGCATTTCATTTTGTTACAAACTGTAACGACTTTTTACAACCAAGGAAGGCCCCTCAGGTCTAAGGGACTCTTGTCATGAAACGTGAGCCGTCAATGAGATGTAGTCTCTAGCGCTGTTCTATATCCTACTTTTAAACTTCACCGTGATTTTCTCTCTCTATCTTTCTCTTTTCTCTGGACGGAGTTCCGAAGATTTCCCACCGCGCTGTCTTTCTAAGGAATTGGAGGGATAGGGCCCGTCACTCAACCCAGAAACGTTATCGTATCGAGAAAGTGTTCAGGGGCTCAAACTACCTCTGTGGCTAAATTTATTACCTAAAGTATAGCCTTGGTTCGCAAAAGTGGATGTCTATGTCTGGTTCCATTCGAGTAGTCCTAGAGCTATTCCAAAGACCCGAGCATAGATATCATCACCTCCGTTATTTTCTCAGCCCGTCTGTCTTCGCTCAGAAGTGCTTGGGAACGAGGCGCAGTGGAGTGACGCCCGCGTACGGTCTCCATAGTTCAGCCGTGCCATCCTCAATGTGGACCGCTTGCGCCCATAACGAGAGCCCGCAGCGAAACTCGTACTCAGCGGCAGAGAGCAACCAGAAGTGAGAGGGCGCAGACAAGTAGCGCGTTTGGCTATCATGAGACGTATGGCTGGCCATGCGGCAGAGCGCTAGTATAAAGACACTCAGGTATCACTATCTTTCGCCCCATTCCCGTGCTTTTTTGGCCAGAGAAAGTGGCACGTCACTGTAGCTCCCGTTTTCATCGCAGGTGACAAGGATCATTAGGTAATCGTAGAGTTCCTTAAGCGTAAAGAAAATGGTCGTCATGAGCGTTGCGAGTGACATGGTATTCTTGGGTTATATTATTATTATTCAAATTAATTCTAAACAGGAGGCAAAGGCAAGCATATTTTGCGAAATTCTGCTCACAAGGGCTGTTCCAAGTCTTATTTTTACTGCCAGTTGACGCACGAGCGATGCCTCATGACTGCTGTAGTTGAGAAAACATTGCGACTAAATGTGTGAGAATTAATGTTGGGAGCTCTTGGCATCTGCGCCATGTGAAGTGTTTGCTCAGCTAGTTTTTAAACTGAAATTCAGATATGGAAATTGAACCGGCTGAAGACTCGAGAAGAACGAATGAGCGAAGGCATCGACGATGACGGTTCTACATCTTAGGCCTTGACTGTCCAGAGGGCTGACGATAAGTTGTGGTATGTTGCTGGAGTGCGGCAGCCTACAACAAGGTGATCTCTAGGGGTTTGTGAACTAGTTTGTGAGCCGTTGAGAGTTTGTGAAGCGATTTACCTGCGATTTTTATTTGTTGCTATCTTTTACAACGTCAGTATTGCTGTCTGTCTGGCTTTGTTCTGGGCCCTTTGGTTTTTTATTCTGTTGATTTTGAATGATAATTTAACAGTTTTCTTTATCAAAGCATGAGCTGGTAAAAGTTTTTATTTGTTCTCAGTTGTAGAATAAATCTTAATGTATACATGTATAACGTTTAATATCGTGACGAAGTCGACGACTGTGTGTTGGGCGATTCCGTTTTGAGTCATGTTTGCGAGCCGCACTCAGCTGTCGCACTCAATATACCACCATCTGCTCGTCCGTATCGATCCAGCTGTCTGCTTACTCTTCAGTTTGGTTCTCTAGTTCTTATATTCTCTTGGACAAAGCGAATGACGTGAGTCAAGCGGTGCAGATCTAATTTGAACTTAAACTATTTTTCGATTACTTGTACATACCAAGAGCAAGGAGAAGTTTTTGCAAAAAGAGCGTGGAATTGTTCTTTGCGCGCTTTGTGCAACAATTCAAATGCGCGTTTACTTCGAGTGATTTGCATTAGTTTAACCAATGGCTCTTGTCAATGTTACGAAACGACGCTTACTCATTACTGACCTTCTTTCGCGGTTGACTTTTGCTCATCAGTCAAAGTGCTCCTTTTTATCATCTCTTCATGTGTACAGTATATTTCCTGAACGGGAACCGGAATCTTACTCGGAACGTCTGTACCGACCAGCTATAAAAATCATGCCATTCTTGCGCAAAGACGGTTTTTATAGCCTAAGGGAGCCATTGGAATCTAGCCATGACCTTGTCCCTGCACTTGTAGCCCTTTGCGTGCATGGATTCAGGCACTAACTATTCTGCGTGCTGGCCGTTTGCCACTCGCGTGTAGTCCTTGATAATGCCTTTCCGCGAAGAAACTTCTCTCAACGGGTCTGTGGGAGGTCCCACGACAGAAGGCGCTTTTTTCTGTCATGGGAAATAAATGAAGGCTGGGAGAGACTGGCTTGTGATGTTTACATTTTGGGACATTTACGCATTACTAACCCGAAAGCTGAAGTTTTTCTACTAAAACTTCGCGGGTTATGGTATTGATGCTTTTATCACGAATATCGCATTAGCTCTTGTAGTGCGCCAATTTGGCACACCACCTTTCCCACTAAACTCGGTGTAAACTTACGTACTGGAATCATTTTTTGTCTTGAACGAATGTCGAGTTAGTTGTCAGCGTTGGCGCCATTTAGGGCATTCAGGGCTACCCATGGGATTCGGTGTTCACTTGCAGGGGAGTTCTTGGGTACGCTGGTCACGAATATGACATCGTAAGGCACGAAGTCGTTCATAGCCAGCGTCACAGGCTACGGTCCGTATGCTTATTGTAACCCTAGCGCGTGCTAGCGCGGACCCGTGGCTGTTTCGTGCCAGGTGTGCTAGTGCAGTTCGGCAGACGCCAGACGATAGTTTACCCTTTCTGGTTGCGAGCAGTAGTAATCCTTCTCTTTGCTAAGGCTACTCCTTACATATAGTAGAGGAAGGGATCAGTGGGGTGGAAGGGGGGGGGTGCATAACAGGACTGGGAGGGGTGCCCAACAGCGCGCTGTCACATGCATCTTCACCCCCTCCCCCTCCTACCTCCATTCTTAACTCCATTGACACCCCAGGTGTGATACTCGTGTTCGAGAGGTGGCACTAGCCCCAAAGTAAGGCTTTCAGCTAAATCTGCCGAAAAGTCGGTAAAACTGGCCTAATTTCGGGATATTGGGGTAGTAAGGGTTGAGTACTACACAGCATTTAAGCACTTCGGAAAGTTAGTAACTATGCAATTACAAGAGATTTGTATGTCTATATAGGTGGGTTAATCTCTGTTCCTTTGCTGCCTTATTTTTCTTTTCACAGTTGCTAACAAAGCCAGTGATTATTCAAAGTTGTTCATCCGCTTCCATATGTTTGAAATTAGGATATCTGCTTTCGATCATTTATCATGCACTCATGGGTGCGTCAAAAAGTCGATGTCATCTGAAACCGGAACAACTGCAGTTTTAGCGTAAATTATTGTCACTGCTTATTAATAGTCGCACACTAAATCTGATTTATTTTCCTCTAAAATTTGCTTGAAATGGTGATTTATGAACCCAGCTGGGACAGTAATTAGTGTGAGGTGTCATTTACTCCATATTAATTTACTGCATCCTAGTAGAGGACAGTCTGCTACCCCTGACTTTGTGGAAGGACGTATATTTCGAAATGTTTCGATTTCGATTGAAATTCGCGTGTTTCGGATTTTTTTCCCTTAGTACTTCTGCGTTGTTATTCAACGAATCTATCAAATGTAATTGTTGTTTGCTGTGAAATGAGGGCCGGTTATGCTCGAACAGCGGGAACGGTATTTTTTGTTCCACATTTTGAATCAGGCGGTGCTCCCAGCGTGTTTCCACTCTCTTTGTTCTCCTTGAGCCAGATGGTTTTTCAAGGGCATACGTCACTTTGCGCTGTAAAATCTGAACCCATTTGCGACCAGCTATAAGTCAATGTTCTACTCGTTCTGCACAAAAACCTGCTCTAGCAGTTGCTCGATTTATCAAGGTTTTTAGCGCGTTCTGAGCTCTGAGCAGTCCCCTCATGGTTCCAAGTCAACCTCATCTGTTCATCGACGGCGATCAGATTCTAGGTTTCTTTTACCGTAAGCGCGAAATCGTTGTGCTCCGGTATTTGCTTTTCTCGCGAGAATAATGCACATTAGTATTTTGTGAACCATTCTATACCGGCACTACTGAATACATATTTGCACAATCTTTAGAACTACGGTAGCTGCTACGGTAGCCTCAGGAGGTTCTCTGCATTCGCAGTTTTTTCCATCGAGAAGTCATTTGCTGCATTTGTACAGTTCACTGTGGAATTTTGAACTCGTTCTCTTTTTCTTTCTTCTCACGAATGACAGATGATGTGGATCAAGAAAGATTTGTATTCGCTTCCTTCTGCTTCCACTTTCCCTCCAAATTTTTGATTGCCCTCGATTTTACACTTGTTTCCTTTTACTCTATTGATGATCTCGGAGCTACTAAAGTCGTGGGATTCATTTCTGGTTTACAGCGCCTTCTACATAGAAGGTACCCTTACCTGACCCTATCAAGCTGCAACATATATCGTCGTCATCCGGGCAGTTGATCAGCCGACCCCAGGGGTCGCGACGCGGCTGCAGCGCGTCACGACCGCGGCGATCAGCTGTTTCCACCCTAATTTAGCAATTTCCTCCCTAATTTTCACTGTATTTCCTATTTTTTCAAGATTATTTACGTTATTGTCTATATGAAGTTTAAACTCGTGAACTTTTTTATTTTCTCTCGTAATGGTGTGTTTTTCGCGATTTTTTTCAGGCATTTGTCTAATTGTTTGTTTAATCGTTTAATTGTTCGCAAATGTTATAAAAATTCCAATTATAATTTACCTTGTGAAGACAAGGAACTGCTAATCTTGGAAAAAGCAGCCAAAAACAGTGAAAAGTAGGGAAAAATGACTAAATTAGGCCGGAAAAAGCAAATAGTTCCTACGCACGCGGTCGCTGCTGCAGCCGCGTCTGCGGCCCGTTGACGACCGCCCTAATCAACTGCCCGGATGACGAGGGTACCAACCCGGACGCCTACCGTGCCCGCCCGCCCACAAATGGACGACCGCACCTGATGCTCGTATTGCTTCATTTGCGAAGTGAAATATGAAGCGAAAGGGATTGATATTTATATAGGATTGATATTGGATTGATATAAAGCGGCTGCGGTGCTACATGGAAATATGAGTACAAGCGGCAGCCGTATCTACCGTGGCGGTTATTGGCACGTTGCCGCAGGAAACTCGTCCGAAATAGCTTTCTGAGTCATGAAGAACGAAGGCTTTTCTTCGCAGGTTTTTGACCGTTTCACTTCGTTTTTTCGCCATTTTCCCACTATATAGCACCCTGCTAGCATTTTAGACCGATCACTAAATTATCGTGCCATATGCCTTTAAGAGGTGTATTTGAAAACGGCGGTACCGTGAATGCGGTGAAAGAGGAGTTGCAGACAAAGCACGGCGCGCGGCATTCGCGTTAGGACCTAACTGATCCAACGTGGGTGGATCACTTAGAGAACACTCTGCGGTGCTGGCGTGATTGAGCGAACTGGATGAGCAGATTGTTGCGCCGGCGCCCACCTCAACCTTCAAGCTCAATAGTCGATTTCGTTGAGGCGAGGAACCGAACCTCGGTTGGATTAGGTATTTGGGTAGGGTGCGGCAAGCTGTCTACATCAGTCTGATACTTGCCAACCGTACCCGGAAGGGGAAGGATTACAAGGCATCTGTCAACAGGGTGCTCTCTCGCTATGAGGGTCCAGAGAGGTTTCTCGTTGATGTTCTGATCGATTATTTAGAGGAAGCAAAATAAGGACGAGGGATGAGAGCAGGAAGAAGAAAAAGATGGCAGGAGGAAGACTTTGCCTTTGACAGACATCCTGAGAGCGGTTGGAAGTCTTGGTTGTCCTGGTCGCTCCGGCATTTGACCCACTGACCATACTAGTGC